AACTTTCTACATAGGGACATATTTTCTTATTACTATATATTATACATTTTTCTAGATTATATGGATAGTTTAAAAACGTAAAAGAGCCTCTCCCTGACACAATATTATATTAATTATGATTTAACCATCTCTACCCACTTTATTCTTTTTCAATATTCTTATAAGGGTGTTGCTCCCTCCACCATCCCAGGTGCTCCCTACACCTTCCTACTATTTTCTTTATTCCAAAATTATCCTATATCAATTTAACTTTTATCATTTAACTTTATTTACTCTTTTTTTAAAACTCTAAAATTTTCTACACTCCTACACCTCCACCCTTCAACACCTGCACATACTGCGGAAGGGGAGTTCCGTTCTGCCCAAACTCTCGTCAGCCATATCAACTTCTACTGCCTTGACCGTGCAAAGATGATGAGCGAATCCTTGTATTAAAAGAATCACTAATTCGATCAGGATTTGTCAAACCCTCATATGATTTTAGCATGATATGATGCAACCTTTTATAGGGCAACATGGTTTTTCAGCAGCAACTTTCCTCTCATCTGTCCATGATGCTGCAGTTTATTTCAAATTCGTCCAAATCTCACTTTCACTTTTTTTTTCTGATATGAAAAATAGTATTCACATAGTTCGATGGTAAATATTAACTATTTCAAGTATTGCAGTGAGAACAAAGTTGCTCAACATATAAATTTTATTATAAAACTGCATCTGAAAAAAATAAAATAAACTGTATCTTTATTTTCTTGCCGAAGCTCCTCTGGTTTTTCTTGCTCCTATATCTCTCAATCCTCACTTTCTTCTCCTCTGGGCTATAAGGATTGATTCTGCTCATTTCTTCTATGATCAAGCTACTTTCACTCGACAATGGATTATCTGAATGATGATAATATTGCATCGAAATATCTGTATATACAAAAGATCACCAAAAAATCAATTTGCATTACAACAAAATCATTTACAAATGTATTAAGATTTCACTTCCACTTTTCTCCAATTCCATAATCTCCAACAAAAGCAAAGTTTAATTTATACTTTATGTTTTAAACCAGCCGATATCTTTTGTGTGCATCACTACAAATAAAGTATATTAAAAAAAACTAACCAAAAAGGGAACACATCAAAAGGTTCTGACAGTACACGAAAAAACTCCATGGGCTGCTAAGTAGGTATATACAGTGAACCAAACAGCAAAAATAACTTCAAGTTTTCTGTCATGAAGTTGATCATTATTGTTTAAGTGGTGTACTAAATGAAATTATGAGCACTTTAATATTATATTATATTATATATATATAAAAACAAAATCTCAAAAAGCTCATAGATCCAGGACAATTACAGTGCTTCAAATGAAATTGGTCTCTTTCTCATCAGATTAACGTGCGACCTGGACAAGATAAATAAATAATTTATATACTTATTGATAGATATACATCTTGAATGTTTAAAATTAAAATTTCAAAATACTAACATTCAAATATATAAAAATGAGTTAAAAGTCATAATTTGAGATGTGTTTACAATTACAGGTTTATTTTTTATGTTGTTTCTGAATTGCCAATGTACGATTTGAAAGTGCAATTTGAAGTATAATTAAAAGTGCATAATATACATATAAGTGTGTATTAGTGTAGTTAATAAGATGTGTGTTTGTAATTAGCGAGCCAAAAAAGGAAGGGACATGAAGGTCACCGGTGCTGCAAGCTCTCCGTACGGAACCGTTTTGGGAGTCAAGCAACCGAGCGAAGAGAGGAGAAAAAGGGTGGTGGGGTCCAGCACTATTCTTCTGCAGCGAGTGGCTGCTTACGCTCCTTTGCACTCGCCGACTTAGCGAACTCGGCGACCCCATGTAGCTGGTGCACCCGCTCTTGCAGCTATTGTACCTGGTGTTATTGGAACTCGCCTTTGAATCAAACTCGCCCAGGGCAACTTGGTGGTGCTGCGGCTGCTGAGCGGCGGCAAACTGCATTGACGACAACGTGGATGCGTCTTACAGGGAGAGAAAATGCTCAACGGATGTTGACGTCGGTTTCTCCTTCAACGGAGGTTGATATCCGTTTGTCCCTTGTCCTTTAATGGATGTTGACATCCGTTCATTGACATCCAATATTACTAAAGGGTAAAAAAGTAATGTGCAGGTATAGGTAGTCGTGTGTGGTGGTGGAGGGAGTACTCCCTTCTTAGAAACATTATTTCAAATTTTGTCATATATAACAATGTTTTTTATAAACGAGCCTGGGACTTTCAGTATTTGACTGGGCTTATCGATATCACGTATTGGGCGTTCTGTTTTCTTCCTGCACCTCCAATTTCTAACTGCACTATGAACTTTTACAAAAACAAAATCTGAAAATTCATATCTTATGGTTATATTTCAATACTTTTTTCTTCTGACTTCATCAAACTCTTTTTCTCATGATTTTTTTTTCAAATAAAATTAATCTTAAAATTCATTTAAGCAAAAAATTAATTATAATTATAATTATTTCTAATTATTTCTAATAAAAATAAACTATTATAATCATAATTGACTTTTAAAATAAACCATTTTTCAAAATTTTCTACATCACACACTTGTTGTACCTATTATTCTCTTGTCAAATCCTTGTTTCCACTTTACTGTAAAGCATTTTGCCTAATCAAGAACTTAAGAAATCTATGAATAAATTGTCCAAACCCCACCACAGATACATCTTAATTTCACCATTAAAACAAAAGAAACCTGTTCATACTAAAACATATATAAATGAGTCTGGTGCACTAGGTTTGAATCATCAGCACTTATATTTTCTACTGCAACCTTAAATTTTTTCCTTTATAAATAAAAGGTAAACAAAAATAAAAATTTTATAACTGCACCCTGCAATTCTTTTCCAACTGCAGAGAATCCTAGCCACTGAGTAACCTTATCTGTATGCACACTTTAATTCAAATTGAGACTTTTTCTTATTCTTGTCTGCAGAAAATAGTTCTTTTCTTACATCTCACTTCTCAATCTCTTTTCCAAAATTATTCTTTCTAAGAGAATCTTGTTCAAAACATTACCAGACATTAAATATTAACAACCTTTAGAAATTCAAATTCAAACCTCAATCTGTGATGTTCTAGCTCTTTCTATAAATACCTTAACCATCTCAAAGCAACATAACTAAAAACCTATAGTGCTATAGGCTTTGAACATTGTTCAACAAAAATCCCAAGATGAAGGTGAGATTTTTTGCTTTGTTCTTACTCATTTCAGGTATTCAAGCCATATCAACCTCAGACTTCAACACTTCAGAAGATAAGGGCCTCGTCCAGAGCAATGGAGAAGCACAACAACTTCTTGGTATTATTCTTCTCTCTTTCAAACAACCATAAACTGATGTGATTCAGCCATTTTTTTCCCTCAAACTAATGTTAATGTTACTGATTACTGTTAACAAAATGACACACACTTAGAATTATCGGAATTTGCTTCTTAATTGTTATATTGTGTATCAATTAGATGCTTATAATTTATAGACTTACATATTATGTTTAAATCTTCAAAGTTATGAACTCGTCCATTAAGACACTATAATTACTTATTATTGTCTGATAATCACTGCATTAAACTGTTTATCCTTCGACAAAATTCTTAAACAAATAAGCTACACTTTTGATTCTATTACATTTAAGTTAACAAGTGCTATACAGAAACGTTGCATGGAAGCATAAAAGAGTCAATTAGTGTGAAATACCAAGTTGAAGATAGGAAAGAAGAAGCAATTGATACAACAAGAAAAACACAAGGTGGAGGAAGTTCAGGAAGTAGCGGAAGACCAGGAAATGGAGGCAGTTCAGATGTTACTCGCAGGCCACGTCCAAGTTCTGCAACATCACAACCTCATTTTTGTGTCTCAGCGTTTATTCTTTCTGTAAATTTGGCTTCTGTCATATTGTTCTTCTTCCACTATGTCTGATGGATGTAATCCATGCACAAATAATTAAGTTGATGCCGATATGAAAAGGTTGAAAATCTCAGCTTTTTGCTGATAAGTGGGAATAAATAATGGAATTCATTTCACTTTTTCATTTTGGAATTACAAACTGTTTACTGAATTCATCAATGTTCATTGCTGATTAATATTCTATTATGATGAATTCTAGAAGCTAAATGAAAAGTTTATGTACATTAACACTTCCTGGCTTAGCTATATTCTGTTGAAATGAATTAACATGATGGAGAATAATGTTGGAGAACAACATTACTTTATTCCATATTCTTGCTAACACTAAATGACATTGTGCATCTTTTTTCACTGTCTTCCAAAACTTTGCCATAAAGATTAGATCTGCACTTCAACTTTTGAAATTGTGAAAGTAAAAAGGGAACATATACCTTTTTTTTTACAGCAAGGAGTATATGTACCTTATTAAAAGGTTGTTACTTTTTAAAATATAAAATTAAATGTACATAATAATAGGTAACCTCTTAATTTCTATTTTTAGTTATTACTGTTAATAAGATAGTATAAATTATAAGTTTAATTAAGTTTCAAGTACATTTTCAGTTGAATCTTTATTAAATCCTTTTTATTTATTGTGGATTACTTATTTAAATTGATTTTCATTAATTTTGCATTTCATTTTACATTTCATTTTACATGTATGACGTACCTTTGATAATTAACACTGTTACATATATATCTTTTATGTTTTACAAAGATAATCCTTAGCTTTTAAAATGATTACACATGAATGTCAGTTTTTTTAAATGTTGTACAAGTTACTCGTGTAACATGTATTATCACATAGCATTCCCTATATTTTACAAAGCGAACACATTGTCTCATCTTCTTGCTACAATGTTAAATATGGATCTTGCACGTTTAAAATATTGTTCAAATTAATGTATAACAAGTTTTAAAACTACTGAAACCATTTACCTAACATATGACAATAGGGAAAATCTCACTAAAAAATACTTAATACAAATTGATGGCAACCTCCTTGGCTAGGTTGGGCCAAAGCTAGGAGATGTGCATGAAAGAGTGTTTCCTTAGATGAATGGTGCGAAAATGTGGTGATAAATGGTCCAAGGATTATGAGTTAGGGTATGGATGGAGAAGCTCAAAGTCTCTAAGAGATATGGTGGTGGTGGTGTAGTGTTTGGTGGCTCCAAGAGAGGTTAGGCCAACTCAAAGAGGAAGGTGACTAGAAGGACCTCTAGGGTTGTTCTAGTCTTGATCAAGGAAGAGTATGACCATATTTTGACAGCATAACATTACTTAATTCCAAGATGAAATACAAGGGTAGAGACACCTCTATTTATAGGCCAAGAGTGTCTCCTTCTAACCCTAAAAGCACGATCTCCCACCTTTGCTCTCATTGGCCAAAAATGAGGTCTTCTAAGGAGTGGACAAGTGTCCACAAATCCTCTCCAATGATGGGAAGACATGTGGCCACTCACAAAACACAATCATCTCCATTCCTAGAGTGTCATGTGGCCACTACTAAAAGCAAAAACTCTCCACTCCTAAGGTGCCTTGTGACTACCTTTATAAAGTAAATCCTCTCCAATGGAAGCATGACACATGTCACACACTTTTCACTTGGTTTAGATGTCTAACTTTAAGGAAAATCATATGCTACTTAGGTCTTAATACAAGCCTTAATCAAACCTACACTACATGGCCAAATACAAGGCCTAAATAAACCTACATTACTCTTCAATCCATGCTCCATGATGGCTCCAAAGGTGGCCCACAAGGTAGAGTTGATATGTCATCTTCATGGATGACTTCCACTTGAAAGTGCTTGACCATGGCTAGGGGATTTGTCATCATTCCCTCCCTCTTGAAAAGGATTTGCCCTCAAATCTTCAACATGGAACAAGGCAAACTTCCTTATCTTCTTTGGAGTTTTGTGTCCTTCTCCACCAAGGTCAAATACTCATTTTATAACACAAGTTAGAACAAATGTTATAATAGTGAGTAAATGAAGAATATAGCTCCCAACAATGATACACCTTAAATCAAATGAATGATCAAGGTTTTGGAGAGTAGGAGCATCTTTGAAGCTTTTATTTGTCTTGTGTTGGTTGTATATGTTTGAAAGACTATCCATTCCAACACAAGAGTTAATTTTTTAGGGTTAAACCATCATACCCTCCCTTTTGAAAATGATTTGTTCTCAAATCTTCTTGTTCTTTTATGACAAAAACCTTTTTCTTATTATTGGTTAATTTGTGTATCTTTCCACCAGGATCAAAGATCCATATGCAAGTGTCATCAAACTCAAAACCAATAATCTTATGAACCACAAACAACATGTATCTAGATGAAAGATTTAAATAAGACCTTATGCTAATTTTAAAAGAATTTACTTAAAAACTTTGAAGGTCGACTCCACAAAATTGTTTGTGTTTACTTTGAGTTAATTGTATCCTAGAAGGTAACATCAACTCAAAGTTTGATTTGAAAAAAATTGAGGAGTTAAAAATAATGGGAGGTGAAAAAGAAGTTGAAATTTTTTCAAAAGTAAAAGTTGGAGTTATGAAAGATGGTTGGATGTATTAAGAAAAGTTCAAGGATTGGAAAATTCCTTTCATCATCTTAGTCTTAGTCTTAACTGTGGGAGTGGTAGGGTGCTTTAGTAACTCTTCCTCTTCTTCTCTTATCTCAATCTCTTCTTTTACTATCTTTTCTTTCTCATTCCTTTCTTTTACCTCTTTCTCTTCATACTCTCTTCTTCTTTCCTCCTCCTTTTTCTCTCTTCTTACTTGCTCCTCATCCTCTCTTTGTTCTTTCTCTCTTTTCCCATGCTCCTCATTCTCTCTTTGTTCTTTCTTCCTTCTTTTGTCTTCCTCTCTTCTTCTCTTAATCTTCCTTAAATACTTTTGGACTTTTTCTTCTTTTTCATTTAGAATTCTAAGCTCTTCTTCTAAGGTAGCAAAATATTGTTTTCTTTCAACTATTTCTTTCTTTTCTATCTCTCTTATTTGTTCATCTCTTCTTCTTTGAATCTCTCTTTTTCTCTTGTCACTAAAGAGCTTTCTAACTTTTTCTTCAAACTCATATTCTCTTTTAAAGAACCCTTCTACACTTTTTAGAAAAGTTTTTCCTCTTTTAATGAGTTCTCTCATCTCACATATTTTCTCTTGGTTTATTACAAGGGAAAAAGGAACAAATTTTCTTCTTATGCATGCTCTCAAGTCACACCAATATTTAATTGAAGATTTTCTACCTTTCTCAACCTTAGATTATCTTTGATTCCACCATTCACTTGCATGCCCTACAAGCCTAGAGATGCATAAACTAAGTATATGATATTTACCATGCCTAACTAAGAATGAATGAAGTTCTTCTATTCTTTTCTCCCATGCTAGGTATGATAATGCACTAGTATTCTAACCAAAGAATGGAAGGTCACTCTTAACTTTAGAATGTAGCTCAACCTCACCATGACTTAAATGCGAGCTACTATAAAAACTCATTTGTTTTAAAAGAATTTTGAAAAACAATTTTCACAAATCCTAGACATTTTTAAGATTTTCAAAATGACTTATGCAAACAAACTTAGTATTTCAAATAAAATTCCTTAAGAGACTTAAGGAAACAAGACAAACTTAAGTTCACTTCCAAGAAAGAGAGGTGAATCACTATGAATTGCTTAGAAACCAAGTCTTTCCTGGCCAAAGCTTACCTCAAGTTCTCTTGTACCAAAATTCTCAAAGGGATTTGAACTTGAAATAAAAATTGACACACACTAGACTATCACAATTAAAGAAAGCAATTAAAGCTAATCTATGCGGCTTAATGGTGAAGTTAGAAGGAACTTTGGTTCCCTTACACTTACCAACTACAAACGCAATATTAATCAAAGTCCAATGTTCTTGTTAGGACACATCCTAGCAAGGCCAAATAATAGAAGTCCAAAAAGGAAAACAACTACAATTTTGTAATTCAAATAAAATACACACAAATCTCTCTTTCTCACCAAGTGTATACTCTCTTGTTTTGTGTTTTAGACCAAGACTTCAAGCTTCCCTTCAAGACCTCCTTCACCTTTGGATGTTTCTCACTGTGTTGGGCCGTTATCCCTATGATCCTCACTTTTTTTAACCATTCAAAGACCTACACCACAAGTTAACACCACTAAAGCCAAAAGGAGCCCAAGAAAAAAGCAAGAAAATGTCTAAAATGAACAAAAGCTCTTTAAAAGGAGTTTTACTTTGACAAAACCATGGATGTTTAGAAGACAATCAAGCAATTAAATAGTAAGAAAGAAAGGTTAGCACAACAAAAGGAGTTACCTAAAGAAAGACACTAGAATAGATCACAAAAACCAAAAACTAATAGAAAATCATAAGGTGCTTTTGTCCTTTGGCAAGCTAGATCAAATGATGCAATAAGGCAACCTCTTTTAGATCATCATGGCTGTTGGAACAGTAGCTTGGGGACATAAAAATTAGCTCCAAATCAACATTAAAGTGCTCGCACAAAAGTTGGTTACATATGGTACATGCATGTGCTTTTACTTTTACTTTTACTTTTTGCTTTTGCTTTTTGTACCTTTTGTCTACTTTTCTTTTGTATATTTTGTCTCTTTTTTTTTTAAATTTTTACCACAAACACAACCAAATCAGATCTCAAATCTGAAAATTTTCATCAAGTTTGATGATCATACAAATTTATAGCACCAAAATAAAGACAACCTACTAGAATCAAGTATAGCATGAAACACAAAAATTGACATAATGGAAACCTAACTCTACGAACTTGTTCATGATCTACCAACAAGTATGAACTCAAATATATAAAATAAAAGCACTCAAAGGCACAAATACAAATCATATTTATGAGATGACCTCAACATATATTTTTTATGATTTTCAAAGTTTCAACTAGGAAATAAAGACATCATAAGGACTAAACATGATTCTAGAGAACATGAAATGATTTGAAACTTAAAATAACTCAAACAAACATATATTGACCAAACAAAACAGTAAGGAATGACTCAAAAAAAAAAAAAGAAAGGGCACAAAAAAAGTAGCCAAAACTACCAAAAACGAACTTGAAAAACGCT